TAACTATAAGAATAACATAAAAGGGGGGCTGGAGAGATGACTCAGTGGTTAAGAGCACTGGCTGCTGTTCTAGAGGACCTGGGTCCAATTCCTGGCACCCGCATGGTAGCTCACAATCATCTATGATGCCAGTTCCAGAAGATCTGATACCATTTTCTGGCCTCCTCAGGCATGTCATGCATGTGGTAGAAAGACATACATACAGGCACAACATCCATACACATAAAATAAAACTATTTTAAAGAGGAAGAACATAAAAAAACATATTAACTGAAACAGTACTGGCCTGTTTGCAACGAGTTTGAAGTACAGACCCTCTGCAACAGCCAAGGTGAGGTGCAGAGAACTTCAGATGAGAGCTCCCTAAAGTAGGTGTCTGGTTGGGGTTACTATTGCTATGATGAAACACTATGACCAAGGGGAAAGGGTTTATTTGACTTACACTTCCACATCATAGTTTATCTCTGAAGGAAGTCAGGACAGGATCAAAACTCAAGCAGGGCTGGAACCAGAAGACAGGACTTGATGTAGTGGCCATGGAGGGGTGCTGCTTACTAGCCTGTTCCCCATGGCTCGCTCAGTCTGCTTTCTTTTATTTTTTTAATTGATATTTACTGAGCTCTACATTTTTCTCTGCTCCCCTCCCTGCCTCCCCCCTCTCCCCTTCAATCCTCCCCCAAGGTCCTCATGCTCCCAATTTACTCAGGAGATCTTGTCTTTTTCTACTTCCTATGAAGATTAGATCTATGTAAGTCTCTCTTAGTGTCCTCATTATTGTCTAAGTTCTCTGGGATTGTGGTTTGTAGGCTGGCTTTCTTTGTTTATGATTAAAAACCACCTATGAGTGAGAACATGTGATAATTGTCTTTCTGTCTCACTCAAAATAATGTTTTCTAGCTCCATCCATTTTCCTGCAAAATTCAAGATGTCGTTATTTTTTTCTGCTGTATAGTACTCCATTGTGTAAACGTACCACATTTTCCTTATCCATTCTTTGGTTGAGGGGCATTTAGGTTGTTTCCAGGTTCTGGCTATGACAAACAAAGCTGCTATGAACATAGTTGAGCATATGTCCTTGTTCAACTTGCTTTCTTATAGAGCCCAGGACCACCATCAGCAGATGGAACCAGCCACAGTGGGCTGCGCCCTCTCCCATCAATCAATAATTAAGAAAATGCCTTAAAGCAGCATTTTGAAGGCATGTTCTCAATTGAGGTTCCCTCCTTTCCAGTAACTCTGGCTTGTGTCAAGTTGACATAAAACTAGCCTGCACACATGGGAAATCCATAATCTGGAGACCCTGGGAGAAGAAGAGAGCTGGCCAGTCCCTGCCTCAGGAGGTCTCAGACCGGAAGATCAAGGGAGATTTTCAGGTCTGAGTTATGTGCCTGGTGTTTCACAAGGAGCGTTAGTTAGACCCATGTATATCATAGCAGCTTATTGGTTTTCTCGGGGTTGCCCCAATTAACATAGTAGATCCCTTCTGCTGGCTCTTGGTACAAGCCAGTGTGTTATTTGGATAATTTCGCATAACCCTCACAGCAGTCCTAATAGGTGGGATGGTATCAGCACCATTTTCAAGGAACGATTCCAGATAGTCCAGAGAATGATCTCGTTCTGAATGAGTGAGTTTACTAAGTTTAAAGCAAGTCAAAATAAAAGAACAAATAGCAGACTGACAGAAAAACATCATCAAATTATACACTCAAAACAACACCCACATGGTGACTCACAACTGTCTGTAGCTCTAGTCTTAGAGGACCTGGCACCCTCACACAGACATACATGCAGGCAAAACACCAATGCACATAAGATAAAAATAAATAAATTTAAAGGACCACCCAGCAGAAATGGACTTTGGGAAGCCTGTTGAGGCAGTCAGCTGGAGATACTGAGAGCGTCCAGGATGAACACGTTTGAATGAGGCTTCCAGGAAAAGTAAGTCCAGCAAGCTGAGGGCTCACAGCATCTGGCAGAAACTGACTGCAATGTGAGGCAGTCAGCTGGAGTTCCCAACTCCGCTGTCAATGAGCAAGCCTTCTGTGGATGAACTTCTGCCTTCTTTCCCACTCCCGGGTAAGCAATAGGAGCATCTTCAGGAAGTCATTTCCCTTCCAGCTCTTCTCAAGGACACAATGTCTTTACTCCTGGGCTGTTCTCCCACAGTCTTTGTCAGAGTTGGGGTGGGCAGATCACCTCCAGATAAGAGGCCTTCAAGGGCACTTTGAGACAAATATACTTGCTCTGAAAGAGTGGTGTTGGGGGGGGGGAGCACCCTGCTTCCAGACCAGCTTCTGAAGAAACCAAATTCTCATAGTCAGGAAGTCACACTGCTCAGCAGTGACAGAGCAATGCTTCAAACTCAGCACATCATACCCACAAACCTGTGCCTTTAACCACGATGTGTTAGTCACGGTCTAGAGCTGCAGAGGGCTTTGGCTAGATGAATTAATATCAATCTTTCCTGTTGGTGCAGTCCTCAGAGTTAATAATGCAAAATTAAATATGCAATATCACTAAATCATTTTTGTACACATGGAAACAGCCCCAGAAGTAGAAAAATTACTTGCTCAGTCACTGGGAAACTGAACACCCCACCCAAAGGTGAGCCTTCTCAGCCTGAGCGTCCAAGGCTGTAGTCTGCAGAAACTCAGCGTGTGTGCTGAGAGAAGGGGAGCAAGCCTCATCACATCAACCGTGCAGAAGAACAGTGATGGGCTCCATCTGGCAAGCAGAGTCTTTAAGAGGTAAGGGACCAACGGGTACCACAGATCCAATTGCAGAACACAAGCCTCTCTACAGCAATGAGCTCTGAGTGCACACAAAGGTTCCCAGCTCCAGTCAGGCCCACTGATTTTTCAGCAACACTTGATATGGCCAAATTCCAGTTTAGCCAGACAGAATCTGCTTCCTAGTGTTCCCAGGGGAAGTCTGGCTATGACAAGAGCCCTTTTCTTCTCAGAACATCCTTAGAGTCAAAAGCTGCAACACTGAGCTGAACTGTCTCAAGAATTCCAACTCCTTCCCCAGAGCATCTACCTGCCTGGCTTCTCTTCTGAGGAAAGATGTTCCAATGCAAACCACATGGACCCTCTGTGTTAGGCTGTCCCGCCAAGCTGCCAGCCTTGGAGAGAGGCACCTTCCTAGAGAGACAAGGCAGGGCTGTCTTTCCCAGTTCCCTAGCTGACCCACTGGAGGAGCAAGCAAGGCCGGGGACCAAGCAACAGGACAAAGGAACCAGGACACCAGCTGTGGAAATGTGCCAGAGGACCGAAAGATGAGCTGTCCCACCTGCTCTCTGCATGTGGAAAAGCCCCTGCCCCGGGCCTTCCTTGAAGCTAGGTAAGCTTTCTGGATTGGTTTTCCTGCAAGCAGTCTGTGCTCCAAAATCTAGGGCAGGTGTTGAAGGGAGGGCAGAGGGAAACAAGCAGCTCCTTGAGGTCAAGGCCAGCCAGTCCAGGTCTGGAAGGGTCAGCGTGGGATCCGAAGGAGAGACCCTGCAGCAACCTTAACGGTTTGCCATGCTCGTACTAGTGTTTATTGATAGCCTTCAGGAATTGGGAATTGGATGTTAAGTGATTAGAACTCACCAAAGTCAAAGATGTCCTCTGAAAGAAGCATAAATTGAGCTGAGGTCTAGAAGCACATATCACCGAAGAGGGTGAGAGGGGAAAGCCCACTCAGAGGGCACTCCAAAGGCAAGCCACTTGACCACAGGGAGAGACTTCTCCACAGCATTGGAAGAAAACTCAGGGGGCTGAAGTGCGGAATGCAACCACAAAAGAGGGTGTATAGGTCTTTTCATTAAGAAGAGTCACCTTTTGGGGTGCTCCTAACAAGACTGGAGATGGTGGTACCTGGGGAATACTTTTGCAGCGTGGAGAGCAATGGGAAGGAAGGGTTCAGGGACAATCCAGAGACAGAGTGGGTGGTTTGGGTGTTTGCCTACCAAAAGAGAATAGTGAGAATAGTGATGCTATCTCATAGCTCCTGCCCTTCACTAAGACGCTCCTCGTAAGTGTTCATTTTAGCATTCAGCTCGCAACCCTAAGAGCTCAGTAAGTGTCGTTATTGAGACTTAGAGGGCTCGCAGGCTGCAGATCTTTCGAAATCATGCTTGCTTCTTTGAGGTGAAGAGAGGTGTGGTGATTCCCAGACGTAGAAACGTGATTTGTATTAAGTCATATGTCAAGACTCCAACGCAGAAGGAACAGAACACTCCTTTTAGAATGGCTAGGAAGTATGAATGAGTCTCAAAGAAAAACGGCTTCCAATTTTCCCACAAGGATGCATTCCACTTCCATCCCCAAACGTAAAATCGAGCGTTTGCAGAGAAACCCAGGTGCTTTCTTGGTGTTCTTAAGTGCAGGTGTAGTCCCGGCCGGGTGGAGGTTTCAGACCAGACCTGACTCCCCATTTCTGGTGCTGGTGCCAAGGGGAGGAGGGTTCCCCGGAAGGCCCCATCCAGCCCGTCCTCCTGCCCCCTTTCCTCAGTCACGTGGCCCTGTGGGTGGGGACCGACCTGAAGTTGAAGGAATCCGGAGCTCTCCCAACTTCGGAGCACCGAGGCGCGACTCTGAGAAGCCGAGAATGGCTCAGCTGTCAGTGATTCCGGGATCGGCCGCGGCGTGGACAGGTGAGCTGGGAGTCCGGGAGTGGCGGCTGGGGTGGAAGAGGCTCCTGGAGCACAGGACCGTACAGCCCATCCGGTGCAAGGCATTCAGGGCAACCCTCGCGGGAGAGGAGACAGTTGTGCGAAGCGGCCCCTCTGGACACTCAGGCCCCGGTCGGTCCACCGCGGGCTGCTCCTGGCTGGCTTTTTCCTCAGGGTGGATGATGGAGCGGAGATAGGTGATTGACGCTGGACACCCCGCCCCCTTTCACCCCCACCACCCCACAGTGAGCCAGAGGGCGGGGCGCTGTGCCGGCCACGCCCTTTCCCGCGCGTACTGGCTGCTCCCCGTGACGTCACGCTCGGCTATAAAAGGCGCGGGAGCCCGGCTCCCGCGGCGCTGTCAAGGAGCTCGAGGCTGAGGGTGCTCGGGGCGGGGAGACCCGGCCGCCGGGCCGCGGGCGCCTCAGCGATGTTTTACTCAGGACTCCTCACCGAGGGCGGCCGCAAGGAGACCGACATGCGGGAAGCGGCGTCCCTGCGGCAGCAGCGCCGGATGAAGCAGGCGGTGCAGTTCATCCACAAGGACTCCGCCGACCTGCTGCCCCTGGACGGCCTCAAAAAGCTGGGCTCGTCCAAGGACACGGTGAGCTCCCCACCCCCGGCCACGCCTGCCTCTGGCCTCCGGGCCGCCGCTGTCGCCCAGGCCCTCGCTGCCGCTTTCACTGAGTCACCGGCCAGGCCTGTCGCTGCCCTCACCCAGGCGGGTGCTCGGCAAGGACCCTCCCTATCTCACTTCTCTAGGGACCTCGCCTGTTCTTCCTCAGCGCAGCCTCCTTCCGGGAGCCCGGCTTTCTTCTCCCCAGTACAAGGAAGAAAGAGACCCTGCCCTGCCCCATTGCCCTCTGATCTCCTTTCCTCCCGCTTATTCGGAATCTCGAATTTGGCTCCCGAGGCTGGAGCATCGCTGCGAAGTCTCAGCTTCCACTGCCTCCTCGCAGGCTGCGTGTCTAGTCCTGTGTCCCAGACAGAGGTGACTCGTAGTGGGTGATTGAGAAAGCGAGGTTTAGTGACAGTTTCTGAATCTAGATGACTTTGGTTGTTTCTACTGCGCCCCCCTCCCGCCGCCCCAAGTCTTAGTTTTGTCCTTAATCTATCTTTGATTTTGTATCCTGAGTGGAGGTGGGGTGAGGCGGGCGGTGGGGGGGGGGGGAGGGAGTCGAGCTTGGGTATTTCCAGAACCTAAATATCTCATCCCTCTGATTTCTCCTCTTCTTCAGTTCTCCCTCTAAAGAGTGAGCAGAGAGAGGGAGGAAGCCCCGATTGCTCTGTCTCACAGATCAACTAGTTCATGTACACAGTTGGAGCTGGGGTTGGTGGAGGCTTTTTATTTCTGGTCGGATTATTCTTGGTATTAAGTTGAAGTCCAGGACGTGGGTCAGAATCCAAAACCATATTGCCCTCCATCTATTGAATAAGGGTGAATGGCTGAGGGATCTGACCTATATTTAATTCTCATCCCTTTCTCACAAATTTATATCTAATTTTGTAGTTTCATCTGGAGTTTGCTTGTTCTTTGATTTTTTTTTTAAATGAGACATCAGGATCTTGCTGTGCAACCTAGACTGACTTGACCCTCAGTACACAGTCCAAGTTGGCCTCTAATTCTGAATCCTCCTGCCTCAGTTGCATGATTGTTGAGATTATGTAGGCGTGCATCACCACTCCCAGCTTTGATTGTTTTCTTGTATCTATAGTTTCCTTATTATCCAAGGAGAAATTTATGAAACATTAATTAAATGTCTTTGCAACAGAAATAAATGCTCTAGATAATCTTTCTAATATTTTTATATTTTGAGCTTCTGAAATACTTAATTTTGAATGTGGTTGTTAGCCCTGGTTCACTGAAATTGCTATTTCTGACTCCAGTATGGCAATGGAGGCTAGTGCTTCTGCTTTTTTAAAATCATTCTAATGATTCATCACTACTAAAGATTTCCCCTTCAGTAGATGCTCTCATGAAGGGACAGAGCCACTCCAGTTATCTTACTCTGTTTTTTAAAAGCTGTTTTTTCGGCCTGAGCCTGGGTATAGTTGATCTAATCGTGCTAACCCAGAGTGCTGAGGGATTAAGATGTACCCTACCAAAGAGGTAACTCTCTCTTGCCTGCTTTCACTTTGAAGCATCCAGGATTCATTTGGCAAACACAGTCCAAATCTTCTCTCCTTCAGACCAAAGTAATCTTATTCAGTAAGTTAGGAGGTATTATGAGGAGAATTAAAGTGTAGGCTGGTAAGGTGCTGAATTTAAGGCATGGGTGTTTGGCTTCTCTGGGGTGGGGGCGGGGGCTAAGGCATTCCCTGACAAGAATAACCACAGCATCCTTCTTCCTAACATTCCTTATACTACTTGGAACTATGTAAGGCTAATTCTGTTCTGACTCCCTCTGTCACAGCTAAGGCACAAGGAGTGGACAGCATCGAGCCTAGCTGATGGCTACAAAGAGGCGGCTTTCTGAGGATAGCCATGGGTATGGCACCCAGCAGTTGACTGTGAAACCCTGAACCGTGTTTCACGCTTTCTGTACCCCATTTTCATAATTTCCTTCTCTCATTGTTCTCATACCTTTAATGTGAGAGTTATTGGAAGGGAGGGACCAGAACGCATCCCAGAAACCAAGGCTGACTGAAGGAGGGCCGGGAGAGCTGTCTGTGCTGGGGTGGAGCAGCCTCCTGACAAACAGCCTCAGCATGATCTCAGAAACGCATTCTTATCAACTCACTTTACAGACAAGGTAGATCATGCTGACTCCACTTCTTTCAATGATGTGGAATTTGGAGGGCATTAGAATTAACTGCAGTTTTTATTCAAAGTAGCTACCAAACAACCCCAGTAGGAAGGGGGCTTGAGAGGAGGATACAAATTCAGCTTTTATTGACTCTGGGGCTTGAGCAATATTAAGAACGTGGATTATTCTTTATCATACAAATATCCCATGTTTGAATTATGCTGCTAGCTTTTCTGAATTATCTACCTTGTACTACGCTGTTTCTGTAATGCTTATGGTTTGATAGTAACATTTTTGGTTTGGCAGATGGCACCTGTAAGGTAATCAAAGATGGTCATGCTCTCTTGGCCCCCGATAGTGCCTTTACCCAATTGCTTTGTGTGTGGAGTTGGCTGCTACAAAGTCTACTATGGAAATTAATCATATTTCTTGTGTCTGGCTCACTTGTTTTTATCATTTAATTGTATTGGGATTTTGCATTTAATTAAGAGCTAAAACCAGATTTATGAGACATATGACTTTAAAAAAAGCTGATAGAGCCAGGCATTGGTGGTGCATGCCTTTAATCCCAGCACTTGGGAGGCAGAGGCAGGTGAGTGCGAGGCCAGCCTGGTCTACAGAGTGAATTGTAGCACAGCTAGGGCTAAAATGAGAGTCCCTGCCTGGAAAAGCCAAACCAAACCAAACCAAACCAACCAAACCAAACAGAAAACTGACAGAGCTAGATAAAAGCATCCTTATTTTTGGAGTTTTGCCTATTGTAATTTTTCTTGTTTTGGCTATCAGGCTAATAAAAGTTCTTGTACTAAAGACTTTATTTTTTGAAAGTAGTTACGTCATGCAATGATATGCTGTGTTTCTCATATGTTGTTATTACTGACCTGTCTGGCTATATCATTCCTTGTCTAGTAGCAGAGGAAGAAATTTTCTCTCCTTCCTATGTTTGAGTGTGCATAGAGCCAAAAACTTGAGCCAAACTAACTAGGGTTAAGGCCAGCGGAAGGATGGTATAACCCAGTGCAGGACACTGACTGCTAAATACCTGAGAACAGGTTTCTGTCAGGTAGAGTAGCTCAGCCTATAACTCCACAGGTCTAGGACTAGACAACTTTGTAGCCTTAGAAAAGGAGTTAAATGCCAGTATAATACCAGCCTCTGGAGGGGACTGTGATGGGATAGGGAGAGTGAGGGAGGAACAGGGGTGGATATGGTCAAGAGACATTGCATACATGTATGTAATTGTCAATAAATAAAGTGCTATTTAAAGTACTTTTATGGAGATATTAAAGGAAGTGAGGCAGTAAAATGTGTCAGGAAAGAATTTCTGGGCAAAAGATACAGCAGGTGCGAAGTCTGGCCATCAGGATGCTTCACATAATTGAGAATTGAGAGGGGTCAGTGTGGCTAGAGAAAAATGAACAAGGAATGTGGTGTAGGATATAGTATCAGACAAACAAGGAAGGCTAGATCTGTTTCTGCCACGTTGGGGATTGACAAGAGCCTTGTACATGTTAGATGAGAATTCTACCACTAACTACATCCCCAATCTCTGACATGCATTAAAAAAATTGCTGTGGTCACTACATAAAGGATGAATTGAAGTATAAAAATCAGAATGATGCTGGGTGGTGGTGGCACACGCCTTTAATCCCAGCAGAGGCAGGCAGATCTCCGTGAGTTCGAAGCCAGACTGGTCTACAAGAGCTAGTCTAGGACAGGCACCAAAAACTACAGAGAAACCCTGTCTCAAAAAAAAAAAAAAATCAAAATGACAAGTTAGGAGGCTATTGCCGTTATGGGTAGGAAAGATGGTAGCTTGGTTAGATTGGAGGTAGTAAAGATGAGAAAAGAATGTGGGTTAGAAGAAGAAGCAGCAGCACTTGGAAGGGAAGAATATGAAAGAAATAAGAATGTGTGTGATGCCGGAGAGACGACTCAGTGCTTCAGAGCATTTGTGACTGACTGGGGTTCAATTCCCAGCACCCTCATGGTGGCTCATAACCTTCTGTAACTCCATTTTCAGGGGATCCAACTCCTCCCCTCTTTTGACATTTCTGGGTACATATTCATGCAAGCATAACACCCATATACATAATATAAAATGGAAAAAATAAGAATGTATATGAGTTGGGTATACTACCTGTAGTTCCAAGCGACTTAAAACTAGACTGGGCAACATAGTGAGACCCATCTCAAAACTTAATCAAATAAAACCGATCCAAGTAGGTGGTGGTGCCTTTTGCTAAGGTTGGCAGGAAGAAGTAACTGACCAAATGTGGAGCTCAGATTTCCTCTATTGCTGTTAAAGAAAGCAAAATTTGGGGCTGGATAGTTGGGTCAGCAGTTAAAAGCACTGGTTGCTCTTCCAGAGGACCTGAGGTTCAATTCCCAGCCCACATGGCAGTTCACAACTGTACCTCCAATTTCAGGGAATCCGACATCCTTACACAGACATACAGGCAGGTAAAACACCAATGCACATAAAATAAAAATAAATAAATCTTTAAAAAAAAAAGAAAAGAAAAAGAAAGCAAGACTTAGTGAGATTAGTGATTTGCCCAAGGTAATATGCGACAAGTGGCAATTTGCTAAAAGTAGAAAGCCCTCCCACGGGGGTAATTAAATAGAGGAGATTGGGAGGGAGGATGGCTGTAGTTGGTAGATCTTGACAGTTAAACTGAGAATTTTTGTTTAACCCAGCCGGCGAGGGAACTGTTGTTAGGGAAGAGATCATGAAGGTGATGTTTTAGGATTACAGATGCTTAGATTGAGCAGTAGAATTACAGAGTAATATATTTCATTCACCAAGATAGCGGATAGAGAAGAAAAAAAAATGTTTGGTAAATGTGGGTAGGAC